TAGTGTGAGAAATGACTAAGTATATTTTTTCGTAATAATTTTAAACCACGCATAACAAATTAAAGCATTCTTCTAAGAAACATGTTTTTAAATTAGTGAACCCATCCAAAACACACAGTTCTTTTGGCCTCGGAGTATGCATTAATCAAGCTTCAATTCTTGTAACTTTTCAACTTATGACATAATTTTCCAGATTAAAATGTTTTTAAAAGCCCATAGGCCTTTTTCTTAAAAAAAGTAAACAATTTCAGCATACAGAATAACATACAAATTAATGTATTCTACATCAAGTTTTATTAAATCTTAATTTCAGATTTCATGTGTATATATTCATAAACCCTACCTAGAATTTTTTGAGATTTTTAGGTTTATTTTTTATTTTATTTATTTATTTATTTATTTATTCTGAAACAGAGTCTCACTCTGTTTCACAGGTGTCCAGGCTGGAGTGCAGTGACATAATCTTGGTTCACTAAAACCTTTGTCTTCTGAGTTCAAGCAATTCTTCTGCCTCAGTCTCCTGAGTGGCTGCTATTACAGGCATACAGCACCACATCTGGCTAATTTTTGTATTTTTAGTAGAGATGGGGTTTCACCATGTTGGCCAGGCTGGCCTTAAAATTGTGGTCTCAAGTGATCCACCTGCCTTGGCCTCCAAAAGTGCTGAGATTACAAGCAGGAGCTACTGCACCTGCCTGAGATTTTTAGGCTTTAAATGACTTTTTAATTTTTGTTTTGTTTTGTTATTATTTTCATTTTTAAGAAATTGAGTGGTTAGCTTTAAGTGTTCAATATGATAAACTTTTATATAGATATGCAGCTGCGCCATCATCTATTTGACCAAGGTATAGAAAATTTCCAAAATTACCTCACAAAGTTGACTTGCGTGTATTTTCCATCAATACTTCCATCAACCTCCAGGAGTAACCAATATATTGTTTATCTCTATAGATAATTTTCCACTGTTCTTGAATTTCATATAGCTGTAATCATACAACATATGCCAGTCTATGTCTAGCTTCTTCCACTCAACATTCTGCTAAGATTCATCCATATCATTGCATATAACTGTCATCTTTTCCTTTTTTATTGATGTGGTAGCTTAGGAGCCAGGCAATAACTTACACTGTATTTGTAAGCAGATTTTTGTGCTGCTCTTTATATGGCCCACTCATGTTCAGGACTTTGCCCCTCATTTTTCAGCTACTTTCGTCTTCCCACGTCTCTGGCCTTGGTCTTTCCTGCCAATAAGACCACAGCATTCTTGGGTTCTCAGCTTCTGCAGGAAAAACTTGGAAATGGCCTCACTAAAAGGACAGGGCTTATGTGAATGTCACTTCTTGTACTTCTCTTAAGAATAGTAGACCCTTAGTTACCTCTTACATCTTCCACTTCCTTCAGACCATTTTCTTCTATTTGTTACTGTTCAAATAATTGTTTTTGACAAAAGTTATTTTGATACCAGCCCTTCTATTATCCCTGAATTATGGAAGGCCCTGTCTGTGTAGATGTTTTAAATTGCAGTGTGGTTAATTTTTTTTATCTTTTTCTTTCAGATGATTTGTGTCTTCTTAAAAAATACAATCTAGCTATGAACTCATAAACATATTTAAATATTTTATTCTTGTATAATTTTTTTAAGATTGTGCATTTTTGTTTAAATCTATGATTGGGCTGGATCCAATTCTTGTATGTATTTTCTATTTGGATGTAATTTTTTTCTTATATAGATAAACAGTTGCTTGAGCAAATGATTTATTAAATAGTGGATAGGCTATACAATTCTGCGTAAATATGCATCAGAAGCATTATGTATTTAATAGAGTAAGGATTTTTAAATATGCATTTAGATTACATTTATTGTGATGCTTATTATGCAAGGCACTGTGATGAGTACAGCAGAGACTATAACTGCATTTTTGGGGCTGAATTCTGTTAATTTAGAATGTTTAAATTCTAAAGCAATGCACTATGACTGAGGAATCACTTTGGCTGTATTTGCATGATGCCAGCTTTTTATGGGTGAGGGTTCTTCAGGGAAACAGAACCAATAGGATAATAGGATATGTGTGTGTGTGCTTGTATATATATATGTGTGTACTTATAGGTGTAGTATCCCTTATTTAAATTCTTAGGACTAGAAGTGTTTTGAATTTAAGATTCAGTATTTTTATTTAGAAATATTTGCATATGCATAATGAGATACATGTATATGCAAATATCTTAGAATGAGACCCAAGTCCAAACAGAAAACTTATTTTATGAATTATATATAGTTATACATATGTGCAGAAGGTAATTTTACACAGCATTTTCAACAATTTTGTGTATAAAATAAAGTTTATGTACACTGAACCATCAGAAAGCAAAGATGCCACAATTTCAGCCACCCATGTGGACAATCTGTGATTGTTTGGCATCACTGTTATTCCTGACTCTGAGTTAATAAGTTACTAGTACTATTTTCTTACACTTAAATTTAACAGTAAAAAATATAACATAACTCTAATAAAATTAAAAACAATGTGTTCAGCATAACTAAGCAGCGCAGTAGCATCACTAGATACTTGTATCAGTTATTAAACAACAGAACAACAAACAAGGCCAGCTTTTAGTTTTCATCCACTATGCTGTGTTTTGGTGAAAAGGTGAATGTAAATTTTTAGGTGAGAAGAAACATGAGAAGCAGTTGAGAGACCAGAAAGTGGATCCTCTAGGGATGAGTAGGCATTCTGCTAGATGGCTTTTAAAAATGTTTCCTCCAGAGTCATCTGCCTAAAGAACAGCAATTTTTTTTTTTGTCTCAAAAGTCTCTTTGATTTTATAAACTGCATTGGTTTCTTGTTATGTTATGAATGCACACTGCTCTAGGACTTCACTAAGCCCATTACACATTTTTGGTGGAGCCTTTAGGTTTGGCCAAATATGAGATTATGTCATCTGCAAACAGGATAATTTCAGTTTGTATAGTTTCCATATGTTTGTATAGTTTCCAAAGATACTCTTGTTATTGATTCCTAGTTTTGTGCAATTGTTGTCAGAGAAGATACTTGATATAATTTTAGTTTTTTGAATTGCTTAAGTTTAGCTTTATGGCCTAATATATGGTCTATTTTTGATCATGATCCATGTGCTAAGGAAAAGAATGTGTATTTGAAGCCATTGGATTAAATGTTTTATAAATAGCTATTAGTTCCATTTGGTCTCTAGTCCAGATTAAGTTTAATATTTCTTTTTTGATTTTATGTATGCATGATCTGTCCAATGCTGAAAAATGGGGTGTTGAAGTCTCCAGCTTTTATTGTATTGGTATCTCTCTCTATCTTTATTTCTAATAATATTTGCTTGATATATCTGGGTACTCCATTGTTAGGTGCATATATATTTAAACTTGTTACATCCTCTTGCTGAATTGATCACTTTATCATTATTTAATGACCATAGATGTCTCTTTTTATAGTTTTTGTCTTGAAATCTATTTTGGTGATATAAATACAGTGATTCCTCCTTTTTTGTTTTTTTGATTTGCTTGGATTATCCTTTTTCATTCCTTTATTTTCAGTCTATGCATGTCTTTACAGGTGAAGTGTGCTTCTTCTAAACAACAGATAGTTTGGTCTTGTTTTTTTAATCAAATGAGCCACTCTATGTCTTATAATTGAAGAGTTTAGTCCAGTTGCCTAGTGTTACTATTAATAAGTAAAGACACACTACTGCCATTTTGTTATTTGTTTTCTAGTTGTTTCATCATTTTCTCTTTCTTCTTCATTCCTCTGTTCCTTTTTATGAAGGTGGTTTTTTCTAGTGGTATGTTTTAATTTCTTGCTTTTTATTTTGTGTAACATTTGTAGGGTTTTTCATTTTCAGTTACCATGAACTTTGCAATTAACATCTTATAACCCATTATTTTGAACTGATGACCACTTAACACTGATTACAAAAACAAACAAAAAACTAACAAGCAAGCAAAGAGAGCACTAATAAAAACTACACACTTAGCTCATCCTCCATGCTTTTTAAATTTGGTTGTGTCTAATTCTATCTTATTATACAATCTGTGTCTTGAAAAGTTGTTGTGGTTATTTTTGGTAGACTTATCTTTTAGTCTTTCTACTCAAGATATGATTAGTTCATACACCACAATTGCAATGTTATAATATTCTGTGTTCATGTGCTTAGTATTTCCAGGGAGGTTTGTATCTTCAGATGATTTCTTATTGCCTGCTAATGTCCTTTTTTTTTTTTTTTTATCAGATTGAAGAATTCCTTTTAGCATTTCTTATAGAAAAGGTCTGATGTTGATAAAATTACTCAATTTTTTGTTTGTCTGGGAAAACATTTAATTCTCCTTCATATTTGAAGAATATTTTTGCGGAACGTGCTATTCCAGAATGAAAGTATTTTTTCTTCAGCACTTTAAATATGTCATGCCACTATCTCCTGGCCTGTAAGTTTCCCACTGAGAAGTCTGCTGCCAGAAACATTGGAGCTTCTTTCGATTTTATTTGCTATTTGTTTCCTTATTGTTTCTTTCAGGAGCCTTTCTTTATCCTTGAACTTTGGGAGTTTGATTGTTAAATGGCTTCGGGTAATCTTTGGGTTAAATCTACTTGTAGTTCTATTACACTCCAATGCTTAAATGTTGATATATTTCTCTAGCTTTGGAAAGTTCATTTTGAATAAACTTAACATCCTGATCTCTCTTCCTACTTCCTCTTTAGGGCAAATAACTCTTATGTTTTCCCTTTTGATACTATTTTATACATCTTGTAGATGTGCTTCATTTTTTAAATATTCTTTTTACTTTTGTCTCCATTGGCTGTATATTTTTAAATAGCCAGTCTTCAAGCTCACTCACTCTTTCCTCCACTTGATCAATCTTGCTGTTGAATCTAATGCATTCTTTAGTAAGTCAATTAAATTTTTAGTTTCAGAATTTCTGCTTTGTTTTCAAAAATTATTTCAATCTCTTTGTTAAATTTTATGATAGGATTCTGGACTTCTTTCTGGGTTATACTGAATTTCCTTGGGCTTACTTGAAACACATATTTCAGATTTTCTCTCTGAAAGGTCACATATCTCTGTCATGATTAACCAGCATGCTTAACCAAGCATGTCTGACCGTTGATGAATTATTTGTTGTAATCTTCAGAGTTCGGACTTGTTTGTACCCATCTTGGGAGGGTTGAGCCAAGCACCCTTGTGGCCACCACTACTGGGACTGTGCTGGATCAGACCCAAAGCCATCACAGCACTGGGTCTCACCCAAGGCCTGTGGTGACCAGCACCTGTTTATTGCCAGTGTTCGCTCAATGCCCAGGGGCTCCTTAATCAGCAGGTGAATTCAACCAGGCTTGTGTCCTATCTTTCATGGTGATAAGCTCCCCTCTGGACCACAGCAGGTCCCAAAATGCTGTCTGGGAGTGCAGCCTGGATTCAGGAACCTTAGGAATCTTCTTGCTGCTCTATTCTACCACAGCTGATCTGGCACTCAAGCTACAAGATAAAGTTCTTCCCTTTATTTTTCATACAGAATGAGTCTCTCCCCATGGCCTGCAGTAATTACTGCCCAGCTATCACTAATGTTCACTCAAGGCCCAAAGGCTCTTTAGTCAAGTGAGCCTCTGATGAATTCTGTCAGGCCTAGGTCTCTCTCTCTTCAAGGCAAAGGGCTCCCTTTTGGCCTAGGATGGGCCTAGAAGGGCCACTGAGGGGCTACGGCCTGAAATCAGGAACCCCAGAAGCCCACTTGAGGCTCTATACCACTGTGGTCGAGCTGGTACCCAAGATGCAGGACAAAATTCTCCTCACTCTTCCCTCTCTTTTCCTCGAGGTGGAGCTTGTTCCCATGGCTGCCACAGCTGAGAATGTGCTAGGTCACAACTGAAGCCAGCTCAGCTCTGGATCTCATCCAAGGCTCATGGTGAAAAGTGTCTGGGTGCCACCGATGTTTATTCAAGGCTCCAGGGCTTTTTTTTTTTTTTTTTTTTTGAGTCGGAGTTTCGCTCTTGTTACCCAGGCTGGAGTGCAATGGCGCAATCTCTGCTCACCGCAACCTCCGCCTCCTGGGTTCAGGCAATTCTCCTGCCTCAGCCTTCTGAGTAGCTGGGATTACAGGCACGCGCCACCATGCCGAGCTAATTTTTTGTAGTTTTAGTAGAGACGGGGTTTCACCATTTTGACCAGGATGGTCTCGATCTCATGAGCTCGTGATCCACCCACCTCGGCTCCAGGGCTCTTTAGTCAGTAGGTGATAAATCCTTCCGGGACTGGATACCTCCCTTCAAGGACGCAGAGAAGTGTTGACTGCAGGCTAGGGCCTGGAATAGGGATCTCAAAATTCTGCCTAGTGCCCTGTTGTACTGGGCTGAACTGATTTCCAGTGTGTAAGAAAAAGTTATCTTGAATCTTCCATTTCCTTGCTTCAAGAGGAAGGAAAAGGTCTGTCCTGGAGCTGCGAGCTGCATTGTAGGGGGCTGGGGAAGGGATAGTGTAAGTGCCCCTTGGCCATCCTGGCTGGTAACTCATTAGTTCATGTGCACTACAAGTCCACTGGCTCTGAGCCCAGCACAGCACCAAGACTTGCTCAAGATTGCAGTCCTTGTGGACTAGACTACCTTTCAAGTTTACTTAGGACTCCAGAGCCCTTTACTCTCCAGTGACAGGGCCTGCTGGAGCTTAGGTTTCAATTGCTATCATGGACAATTCCTCTTTGACTGTAGAATAATTCCTTTCCGTCTAAATGCTTCCTTTGTGGGCACCAGCTGAATTCTTTCCTTTGTTGCTTTCTGGCTGTGACAGGACAGCACTGAGTTCCACAATCACTGTGATCTCTCTCTCCTAAGCATACAGATTCCCTCTGCATGCCACATGACCTCTGCCAGAAATGAGAGAAGAGTGGTGTTGGCAATTTAAAACTGTCTTTCCCACGATTTTCAGTCTTTCTTTCTTTAATCTGATGTTAAAACCAGGTACCATGATTATTCACCTTATTTTTGATTCCTGTGATGCTGTTTCCTTTTATGGATAGTTCTTCTATTTGGTGTTATGTTACTGTCAGGAAGATGATCACTGGAGGCTTTCATTTGGGCCATCTTGCTTCACTGCTTCTCATAGACATCTTTTGTTATGAGAATTTCAGCTGGGGATAAGCAGAACAGTTGTCAAGAAATAGAAATTTTGTAGTCATCATCCAGTCCAACTTCCCTGCAGTAACGTAAACTGCTTGTACAAAATATTTATTAAACCAATCAGCAAAGATGTCCCTGGTGATCCATGCCTATTTGTTAGCATATTAACAGACTGGTTAGAAATTTACTTTTTAAAACAAAAGACACAAGCTTTTGCCTGTCACAGCAAGCTTGCACTTATGCATGCCAGTACAGGTATTCTGTCCCTGTCATCCTTAATTCCTATAAGAGGTTTCTCATCAGCTGTAGTCAGTGTCCTTCAAGGCAGTCATGCCAAATAATGATGTTTAATTAGCATCATGGGCTTATCTTAATATCAGATATTTTTATCAGCGATAACGTTGCAAATCATCAATGAATTTCTCTTCAGCTTCATGATCAGCAGATGGTTTATAACCACAAATCTTTAAAAATTTAGCGCTGGTCCTTTCCTTAAATCTCTGCAACCAGCCTATTGAATATACATGATTCCCTTCAATTTTCAGTTCATTGTCATAAATATTTGCTTATTTCATGATTATCCTACCATTATGTGACATTTCTTTACTATTATGCTGACAGATTCATGCTTTCAATACACGATTTATATCTTTAGCTTTAACATTATGCAGTGTTTTTCTATTTTTTATTAACTTCCATTAATCACTTTCAATATAGAACTTCAATAGTGTATCCTTCTGTTTCTTCAAGTCATATATGGTGGTCATTCCAACACCATACTCTTCTGTAAGACGTTTCACATTTACACTACTGTCCAGTTTCTCTAGCAGTTTGACACACTGTGCTATAGATAAACAGAAATACTTTCTCTCTATTTTTTTTTATCGTGGTTACCCATAAGTGTATTCACAGTTTTTTTTTAATTTTTTCAATAATATCTTTATACTACAGAGCAGAACATAAACAATAAAAATGCAGTGAGTAATGCATATAGATCTTGGCCCTATGCAAGTTATCATGGGGAATCTGCTGTTAGTGTGCCCATCCTGGGCATACTACTAAATTACCCTTTGTGGGGAATATGAGCATATGTGGAAAAGATACATAGAAGCTGAAGGGGTACTGGGAGGCTATTTTTCCCTTAGGGATGTTGAATAAATTGAGTGTGTGTTGTGCATCTCTGTTTTGACTGTAATGTGTCACATGAGGTCAAGTGTGGAATTTTCCACTTGTGGCACTCAAGCATTCAAAAAATTTTGGATTTGGGGGCACTTCATATTTTTGGATTTGGAATGCTTAAACTGTGTATGTGTGTGTATCTGTGTGTGTGTATGTGTAAGTGTATATCTGTCTGTGTGTGTGTGAAAGAGAATGAGAGAGAGAGAGAGATTTATTACAAATAATTTGCTCATGTGACTATGAAGATGGACAAGTCCCAAGATATCCTGAGTAAACCAGCAAGCTGGAGACCCAAGAGAGTCAATGACTTAATTTTTCTGAGTCTTAAGGACCTGAGAATCAAGAAAGAAGATAGTGTAGTTCCTATTTGAAGGCTGGTAGGCTCAAGGCCCAGGAAGAGCTTGTATTAGCCCATTCTCACATTGCTGCAAAGATACTATCCAAACTAGATAATGTATAAAGGAAAGAAGTTTAATTCACTTATAGCTCCACATGACTAGGGAGACCTCACAATCATGGTAGAAGGTGAAAGAGGAGCAAAGGCATGCCTTACATGGTGGCAGGCAAGAGAATATGTGCAGAGGAACTCCCCTTTCTAAAACTATCAGATCTCATGAGACTTATTCACTATCATGAGAACAGCATGAGAAAGACTTGCCCCAGTGATTCAGTTACCTCCCAGCAGTTTCTCTCCATGACAGGTGGTAATTATGGGAGCTACAATTCAAGATGACATTTGGGTGGAGACACAGACAAATTGTATAATTCTGCCCCTGACCTCACAATTCAAAACACAATCATGCCCTTTCAACAGTCCCCCAGAGTCTTAACGCATTCCAGCATTAACTTGAAGGCAAAAATCCAAAGTCTCATCTGAGGCAAGGCAAGTCCCTTCTGTCTATAAGCCTGTAAAATCAAAAGAAAGTTAGTTACTTTCTAGATAGAATGGGATTACAGGCATTGGGTAAATATAGCAGTTCCAAATGGGAGAAAATGTCCAAAACAAAAGGACTACAGGCCCCATGCAAGTCCGAAATCAAACAGGGCAGTCATTAAGCCTTAAAGCTCCAAAATGATCTCCTTTGACTCCATGTTTCACATCCAGGTCATGCTGATGCAAAAGGTGGGTTCCCATGGTTTTGGGCAGCTCTACTGTCCACCTCTAGGCTGCTTTCATGAGCTGGCATTGTGTGTCTTAATCTTTTCTAGGTACACTGTGTAAGCAGTGGATGGATCAATCATTGTGGGGTTGGGAAGACAGTGGCCCTCTTCTCAGAGCTCCACTAGGCAGTGCCCAAGTGGGAATTTTCTGTGGGGTCTCTGAACCCACATTTCCCTTCTGCACTGCCCTAGCACAGGTTCTCCATGAGGGCTCCACCCCTTCAGCACACTTCTACCTGGACACTCTTGTATTTGTATACACCTTCTGAAATCTAAGCAGAGATTTCCAAGCCTCAATTCTTGACTTTTGTGCACCTACAGCCCAATACTATGTGTAAGTGCCAAGGCTTGGGGCTTGCATCCTCTGAAGCAATGGCCTGGGCTATATGTTGGCTCCTTTTAGCCATGGCTAGGACACAGGGCATGAAGTTCTGCAACTGCACTAAGCAGCAAGGCCCGGGGCCCAGCCCAGAAAACCAGTTTTTTCCTTCTATGCCCCAGGTTTGTGATGGAAGGGACTGCCATGAAGACCTCTTGCATGTGCTGGAAACATTTTCCCCATTGTCTTGGTGATTAACATTTGGCTCCTTGTTACTTCTGGGAATATCTGCTGCTGGCTTGAATTTCTCCTTGGAAAATGTGTTTTTTCTTTCCTATCCCATTGTTAGCCTGCAAATTTTCCCAGCTTTTATGCTCTGCTTCTCTTTTAAACATAAGTTCCAACTCCCAACCATATCTTTTTGAATACATAAAACTGGATGCTTTTAACAACACCCAAATCACCTCTTGAATGCTTTGCTGCTTATAAATTTCTTCCACCAGATACCCTAAATCATCTCTCTCAAGTTAAAAGTTCCACAGATCTCTAGAGCAGAGGCAAAATGCTGCCAGTCTCCTTGCTAAAACATAACAAGAGTCACCTTTATTCCAGTTCTCAACAAGTTCCTCGTCTCCATCTGAGATGAGTAGCATTTGGTCAAAGCTATTCAATGAGTCTCTAGGACGTTCCAAACTTTCCCACATCTTCCTGTTTTCTGAGTCCTCCAAACTGTTTCAACCACTGCCTGTTACCCAGTTTCAAAATTACTTCCACATTTTTGGGTATCTTTATAGTAACACCCCACTACTCAGTACCAATTTACTGTATTAGTTCATTCTCGTATTGTTGCAAAGAGAATACCAGAGACAGAGTAATGTACAAAGGAAAGAAGTTTAATTGACCTACAGTTTGGCATGGCTGAGGAGGCCTCCCAAACATGGTGGAAGGCAAAGGAGGTGCAAAGTCACATCTTACATGGTGGCAGGCAAGAGAACATGTGCAGGGAAGCTCCTATTTATAAAACCATCAGATTTCATCACATTTATTCACTATCATGAGAACAGCACAAAAAAGACCTGCCCCCATGATTTAATTAACTCTCACCAGGTCACTCCCATGACATGTGAAAATTATGAGAGCTACAATTTAAGATGAAATTTGAACTTTGAGTCCAAAGGCAGTTAAGAAGTCCATGTGTCAGTTTGAACTCACTCAGGCAGGAAAGAATTCTCTCTTACTCAAGGAAGGTTTACCTTTTTGTTCTATTCAGGCCTTCTACTGATTGTATGGTCTCACCTACATTATCTGCTTTCCTTAGTCTACCAATTTAAATATTAATTTTATCTAAAAACATTCTCACAGAAATACTCAGAAGATTGTTTGACCAACTATCTAGACACCTGTCTTGGTAAAATCAACACATTAAATTAACCATCACCGACTAAGTAGAAATGGGTCGTAGCCATCAGACACAGTAATGTTTCCTGCCAATTTATATTTGCCATAATAAGCAACAAAGCAACATTACATAAGTACTATTCATCTATTTGAAAACATTTATTGAGCCTCAGTGAATATCATAGATACTGAAAAGTTACAGAATACTTTGTGACAATAGAGTAAATCCTGGGATATTGCTGGATATTTGACTAGGCCAGGAAGAGATATGCATTCAGAAGGAATGAGTGGCCTGCCAATAATTCTAAGTTAGGAAATGAACTTGGTCTATAAAAACGCAGAAAAAATGCCAATCTGGTGAAGCATAGTATGGATCACATTAAAGATTTGGGTCTATATTCTAAGAAAAATGAAAATAAATTGACAGCTTGTAAGCATAAGAATAACATACCTAATTTTTATTTTTGAAAGGCCATTCTACTGTCTATATAGAAAATATGTGAGATAGGATCAAAATTGGAGGAATTAAGTACAGTTATAAAAAGACAGTGAGATTTGGACAACAGAAGAGCTATGGAGAACTGAATACATATACAAGATAAATAAGAATTAACAGCATTCAGCAATTAACTGGGTTTAGGGTAAAAGAAAGGAAAGTGTCAATAGTAATCCTTGTTTTTTTTGGTCTAAGGAATTGTATCATTTGCTGAGATGTAGACCCTTACAGGAGAAGCAGGTAAGAATGAAGGAGATCACAAATGTGCTGTATGAAGTTCCTGTTCATTGTGAGTTATGGAAGTATATGCTGCTTATGGTAAATACATGAATCCAGCAGTCAGCAGAACAGTTTGGCTTTGTACACATATATCTGGATGGGCAGTATTAAATATCATGGAGATAAATGGGGCAACCTAGGAAGAGTACAGAGTGAGATAAAATGGGAAGATTGACTGCCCTGAGAAATATCAACTTGCATTTTCAGATACGTTAGAATGAACTCCATAAGAGCTGAGAAGAAGCCATTGAAGGAAAACCACCAGAATGTGGGACAACAAAGGCAAAATGAAAAGAATGTCTTAAGAAGGTTGGAAAATAATAATAATGATAATAATGCCTGCAACAACATCAACAATATAAGCTAAACTGCAGTATTTACCAAGTTCCAGGCCCTTTACTAAGCACTTTATGAGCATTATCTTGCTCAGTCCTTACAAACCTATGTGAGGTCGGTTTCTTATTATCATCATTTTACATGTGGTATAACTGGAATTTCAAGAAGTTAGTCCTCTTACTGAAGCCAGACTGAAAGTCTGACTTTACAATACAAATCCTTAACTACTTAGTTAAGCTAACTCTCAAATGTGATAAATAATTATATTATTCAGGAACATTTTTATTTGTAACTGACAAAACACAACTTCAAGAAAATAGCAGATTTATTTGGAAATATGTGTATTAGAGCTTCAAGTGTGATGGTATCTAGGGACTGAAACACACACACACACACACACACACACACACACACACACACGTGAATTTGGTCCTTTTCTTTCAGTTCTATCTTCCATTGTAACAGTGCACAGAGACTAAATAGGTGTGCAGAAGAATACAGAAGCCAGAAACCAAGTTAATGATGATCTCACTGAAGCATTTGCCCTTTATTTTTTGATCCATTTTCCAGGTTAATAAAAAGGAACTTCCTCCTTCATGGTCAGTAAGTCAAAATCAGTAGCGTTAAATGCTAATGGAGTTCAGTTAGTTCATTTGCCTTCTACAAATCAATTACAGATGCTAAGGATATTGTTATACATGCTTCAATTAATCAGGATTTGGCTACATGTTGCCCCCCTAGACCTGGAATGAGTCTCAATTCAACTCCACATGGGCTAAGAATGGCTGAAGATGCCATCACTAAGATAATACATGGTAAACTGTCAACAACTCTGCTTCTCAGGTATCAAGTCAGATGGGGATTTAAAAGTGTCTATTACATTTAGCACCAGTTAGTTTACTTTACCAAAGCAATTTTATTAAAGCAATAGATTTAGAAGACAAATTGGAGTAGGATGAAGGGTTAATGGGAGATAAAGAAGATACATGTATACATAAAGGAAAATGCATATTTGACTGAAGCAGAGCAGAGAAATCAAACTTCTGTTTATATTCATTGATTAGCTTTGCATGAGGAATCATCGGTCAGTAATAAAGATGCAAAAATTTGATGTCTTGCTCAACATCTCAAAACTCCAAATAAAATACCCTGAAACTCTAATTTGAACAACAAATACACTCTTTTAAAACTCCCCATCACTATACACATTAATACATACAATTTTATTGTAAACCATTTTAGTGGTTTAACTAAAATATGGGCTTGGATGGCTTTATCATTTTTATTTTTTGTTTGTTTTATATACTTACATATTGAGATCATTCCATACCTTAGCTTATCATACATGCCCAATCTTTTCATATTTTCATTCATCCTCCCACTTCCTAGTTGCCTTTTGTTATGCTAGACTCTCTCTTGAATGCCATGCTGACATTCCCAGCACAGCTCTCCCATACTGGAGATTCTATGTAGTTGGCTCCCATGCCCTCTTGATTTGGGCTATTGAATCACATTAATATCAAACCCTTTGGTACCTTTTTTTTCAGGTGGGGGCATGAGAAAGTTAATCTGTTGAGACTTTCCTTGTCTAAAAATATCTTTATTTTACTCTTATATTTTATTGGTAGCTGTGCTCAACAATGAAATTCAAGATTGAATGTTTTTTTCTTCTGAATTGTATTATTATTATTACTATTTTTAGAGACAGAGTCTCTGGATTGTAGTGGTGCAACCATAGCTGCAAACTAGGGTGCAATGTTGCAGTCACAGCTCAGTGTAGCCCTGAACTCCTAAGCTCAGGTGATGCTCCTGCCTCAGCCTCCCAAGTATTTTCTTCAGTCTTGAAGGCTTTATTCTGTTGTCCTTTAGCTTTGCGGAAGACTGAACCCTGAACCCATCTTACCATTTTTAGTGTTGATCCTTTGGATATGAGTAGGA